TTTACCTATAGCTTGAGGAGGGAAGAGAGAAAAAAAATGTCTTTCCCCAAAAGGTATTAGAATAAAGTGAACACAAGCAGACGAACAGAATTTGAACTTGGATTGGCAATTTCATTTTCTGTGACAATAATCGTTATGCTACCTGAACAGCTAGAAATCATCATTATTTTAAAACAGACACAATAATATAAAATGCAATAGCTTTACACATTTATCAGTTGCACAATCTCATCTCCCACTTATAGAAATATACAGAAATCATAGTAAAATGATTTATTATTTAATGCCAATAAGATAATATCTTGTGAGTGAATAAGGGAAGATTAGACTGTTAATACATTGTTATTTCTCTTGTTGTACATTAATTTTCTTTGGACATTAATATGTTCATGATTTAACAAGAGAGTAATTCTATAGAAGAAATTCTAGATTACTCATACAGAAAAATATAACCAATGTAATTGCAAATTTACTTAAACATTCCCATTAGCTTTTAACAGTACAAGCAAACTAGTACATATATAACACACAATTCAACAATTTTTAGAACTTAAATACCAACCCCCAAACATTGGTATTAGAATATGTTATACGTAAAATTAAGAGTTGACAAGTCTACAGTTATTGTATAGAGGCCATTTAAGAGTTAACTCATTGCGCAAAAAAATAAAAAATAAAAAAATAATGGGTATTTGTTTTTGTGAAATTCTTGTTTCTTTTGACTCAAGCCAGAAGAGCAGTACAGCAGATGAAGTTTGTCATTTAAAATGAATCAATAATGTAAATTATCTGTATTGAATGAGTAATCATTTAAGAATACCAAGTACTGTGAATAAAATTCTGCACTTTGCAAGCCAAGTAAATATAAACAGCAAAAATAAAGTCTAGTGTCTGCATTTAAGCAAAATCACCAGCAAAATGTCGGTATAATTGATGCATGAAATGTTCTGTAGTAGTTTCTAATTACAGCACAATGTCATTTTTATCTTCGAAAAGATACAAAGCAATGTTACAAGCTAAATTGAAGTAATGAGAAAAATAGTGTGCTGTAATTAGAGAATGAATTACAAAATGGGGGGAAAAAAAAAAAAATCCGATTGAGTCATTAGCTTTATGGTTGTCAAACTGAAATTTGATTCCAGTGGATATTTCTTCAACGTGGGTTTCATTTAAAAAAAATAAAAAATAAAAATAAATAAAAAATAAAAAAAATAAATCACCAATTTCACTAGTACAAAATAAAAATATCAGATTAGTTTAAAATATTCATATTACTAATATTTTACATGGTAATTATTTTTGATACAATTTAAAATAAACACCTTAATTATAACAAGCTTGATTCATTAATTTAAATAGTACAGCAGCAAAATGAGCCTGAGGTTTCAAATGCTAGATTGATAAAGTTTATAAAGAAAAAAAAAAAATCTACAGCCAAAACAAATAATCTTTCACCATTACTTTAATACTTATAAAAAAGCTCATTCTCTTGAATTAGTTTTCAACTGTAACTTGTTAAAGTCATTAAATCTTAAATTAAATATTGTGGTACTGATCATCATCATTTTTTCCCTTAAAAAATTAATTTTTTTGCTTTTAAAAATAAGCAAAAATGTAGTAATCTTTAAGCTGACAAAACTAAAACTATGGGCCAAATTTATGGCCAATCAGTATCAATGAAAACCAAAAATGCTAACCACTGCATTATGAAAATATATTTAATATTGGGAATATTGGGATAAATATGTAGCCAATGTCAAAAAAATATATGCACATTATGTACCATTGTATAACAAAGATCATTTAGTTAGCAAAACTTCTCAACTAAAAGCAGTACAATTTGGACCTAAAGTTGTTTTTATCTGAAGCTCTCTGTATAGGAAACTTATCTACAGTAGCGTCCAAAACTAAGGGACAAAATTTTAAAACCTAATATTTGTTAGAAATAACAACTGTGAAAAGCTGAAATTTTGACAACTGGTAGTTGTTATCATCCATAATAACATACTAAAATTTGAATCATTTCCAAAGGATAGAAAAAGAATTATAACAATTATTTATTTATTTATTTTCAAATTTGGAACGTCCAAAAGTAAGGGACAAAATTGAGAAAAACAATGTAAACGGCAAAAAAACAATAAAAATACATGTACAATCAATATTTAGTAAATGAGCCCTTGCTCTCAATGACAGCTGCACATCTTCGACTACAAGAACAAATCAGTTCTTGACAATCCTCGATACTAATTTTAGACCATTCTTCTTGAAGCTTCACCCACAAATCCTCCGTGTTAGTGGGATTTCTTTCCATAACTTTCACTTCCAAAGATTTTCTATTGGATTTAAGTCAGGACTTTGTGGTGGCCAATCCATAATTTCCAAATCTTGCTCGCTAAGGTAACTCATTACCACCTTTGCCTTGTGACATGGGGCATTATCTTGCATAAAGGTAGCCCTATCGAAACCTGAATTCTGTATGATTGGCACAACATGATCTTGAACAATGTTTTTATAGATCTGCGTGTTTACACGAGTTTGTAACCGGACAAGAGGCGTTTTACCTTGGCTAGAAAACATTCCAAATACCATGACACTTCCGCCCCCAAACTTGACAGTTTTCTTAGTACACTTTGCACTTAATCTTTCACCAATACGTCTCTTTACATTGTTTTTTCCATCATTTCCAAATAAATTAAACTTGCTTTCATCACTGAAAAATACTTTTGCCCAATTTTCATATGTCCAAGTTACATACCCGTTTGCAAACTCTAATCTCTTCTTCTTCGAACTAACAAGTGGTTTCTTCCCTGGGGTTTGATTAAACAGCCCTATTTCTTGCAGTCGTCTACAAACAGTCTGTCTTGACACATTAACACATGAGGTACTATTCATAACCCTTTTAATTTCTGTGCAAGACTTAAAACGGTCCTTTAATGACATACGCTGCATTATTCGATCTTCTCTTGTCAAGTTTTATGGGTCTGCCGGTTTTAAAAGCACTATTTTGCCAGTATCATTGTAGGATTTAACAACCCTGCCTACAACACTCTTGGAACGTTTCACTTTTCTCTGAAATCTCTCTAATGGTGTGCTTTTCCTTGTGTAGCTTCACAATAGCTTGTCTCACAGAGTAATCAAGTTTTTGGCGTTTCACCATGGTGCCCGCTGATGCAACGTTTACAAATGCCTAAGTAAGACTTATTCTTTGGAGGAAATCAAAAAATTTGAATATAGCATACTGTTTACATTGTTTTTCTCAATTTTGTCCCTTACTTTTGGACGATTCTATTTTGAAAATAAATAAATAATTGTTATAATTCTTTTTCTATCCTTTGGAAATGATTCAAATTTTAGTATGTTATTATGGATGATAACGACTACCAGTTGTCAAAATTTCAGCTTTTCACAGTTGTTATTTCTAACAAATATTAGGTTTTAAAATTTTGTCCCTTAGTTTTGGATGCTACTGTATATTAATTTGTCTGACAATGTATTACTTTTTAAGCATCTATTGTCACCAACAATCTTCATTGGATACAACATAATCAGTTTGCAACACAACACATGAAAATATAAAAAAATTAAAGCAGGTGTTTTATTTTTATTAATATTAAATTGTCTAAAAAGAAAAAAAATTAATACACCTTTGTCTAAATTAATTACACAAAATAAAAGTAGTTATACAGGTGTTGGTTTATTTAAAATTGGAAACTGCAGTGGTAGTCTAATTTAAATGTGTAAAGAGTGGAGCCTATAGTCTTTCTTAGACAAGAAAAAAAAATAAAAAGGGTTATCCATATTTAGCTTGTGTGACTACTTGAGTATCAACCACTATAATATATCGATTTACAACAGATACTAATAATAAATTTATTTTAAAAAATAGCTGCCACTTTTACCAATATGAATTGTCTATTCGAGTAGCTTCTGTAACTCCATAAATGGCACCAACCTGTTAAAACAATATTTTGGCCTAGGAAGCTCTAAATTTGCAAAGGATACATTTGTTCAGGGCTGGTATGTACTATGCACAAACCCATGACCAGGGGCAGAAGGGGGGTGATTAGGAGACTCAGGCAGTGCTTTGTGACCTTTGCTATCTTATTTTCTATTGATTATTAACAATTATTTTGACGTCATTCTGGGGCGTTTTTTTTTTCCCTTTCTCTCTTCATTAAAATCTGAATTTGTTTTACCGAGTCTTTAAGAACACTATATAAAATTTACTAATTTTAATCCATAATGCTGAATGTTAAAATTTTCTACAAAATTTTCAAGTTAAAAAGTTAAAAATTGCCACAAAACATTGTTGGTTTATTTAAGACAGAATGATCTATTATGACACGTATTTAGATATATTGTATTTATTGTCAATTTTTCTACTTGAATTATTCACCTATATTGTATATGATCCATTCTTGTACATAATCAGGTTATAATAAAATGTGTATTTTACAGGAATAATACCTTATGAAAATGGAAATGTAGCAAAGTGTGTGTGTGTGTGGGGGGGGCAAGACACAGGTACCAGCCTTGTGTTCAATTATTCAAGATTTTAGTACATCACATCAATAAGTAGGTCTATGGAGAGACAAAGATGATGATAATGGAATTACATTTATTGGTTAAAAGTTGCCAAATTATAAATAATATATATATATAGTATATATATATATATATATCTAAATGTGAATATAAATATAAATAAAGTATATAAGGAATATATATATATATTATATGTATATATATATTTAACTGCCGAATATATATAAACAATCAAAAAAAATATACGCCTTTTATCAATCACCATTCACTTTTTGTGTGAATAAATCCTTTCAATAATAAACATTCAGCTAACAATTTTTAGCCAATCCAAACATCAATGATGATTTGGTTGATGAAATAAGTATTTCCTTTAGATATAACATTCAAAAACAATTGTAAGAACATTATTCTGTTCTTTCCTTTGAAAAGGTACAAGACTTCAAATGAATACTTACCATGTTCATAAATTTGATCTAGTCGGTCAACCTGAGCCAAAGAAAATAGTTTGTAGCCAGTTTTTGTACCAACAGCAAGTGACCTGAGAATAAACAGAGAAATTTTAGAGATGATATAAAGCAAAAATAACAGTAAGTGGATTCTACTTAAATGAAAAACATTATAGTTTTAAATACTAAAATTTTTAAATAAGACAAAAGAAACCTCAAAATTGATTCTCTTTGTCTGAATTTAGCAGCTTATTTTTTTCCGATTTTTATATACTCTACGTTTCCAATTAAATTGGAAGCAAATCAATTTAAATGCCCTGACTACCTACTAGATACAGTGATGTCTACTTTAAAGAGTTCTATTCACTGAAAAATAAAGAAATTATTTTCTACTAAAAAAAAAAAAAAAAAAAAAAAAAGTGAAAATTTCATGGATTTCCTATTTTAATTTTCTGATGACTTAATTCTTAATGACCAAAGAAGCCCATAGCAAGTTCTATGATAAAATATCTGTAGAAATCCTCTTATGGCATCAAAATATTTGAGCTTACCAACTTAAACAAGATACTGCAATGACAATCAAAATATGAATGGTTGTCATTATTTTAAGAAGTGGGTACAAATGAAGATTTGAAATTGTCAACTTTTCAATTTCACTGAAACAGACGTTAAACATTTCTATCTTCCCTTGTTTCTTTTCTCACTGAAACCAAATAGTCTTTTCCCCTCTTTCCAACATAATCAAAATGGAATAGTTCATTATTTATGAGGTTTGGCAGGTTATAATAGTCATGTGAACTAACAAAAGGAGGGAGGAACAAGCACAATTGTAACAGGATGATGTTATTAAACAATAAACGTGTTAATCTATAGTAATGCTGTTGATATCAAAGAAAATCCATGCTCATAAATGTATCTTGGCAACAACTTGTAAATAACAGTAAGACTGCCTCTTGAAATTTTGTTTAATGAATATTCAGCACAAAACTGACCCCTAAATAATAAAGGAATATTAAATCTTTTCATATTGCCATTATTACCCTATCATGAAACTCCACATTCACATTTCATTAGATAGAATAAAAATCATCCTGATATGCCTTTTCAAAAAAAAAAAAAAAAATTTTTTAAATTTTTTTTTAAATTTTTGCCTGCATCATTATCAACATGTTTTTAGAAAAATAAAAAAACTCGTTTTCAGATCTAGCTTTAAAGTCAGTAGTAAGTTAACATATTTGAGAGATTGAATTTCAGGAATTAAAAATCATTATTGCATCTCTTTCTGCCACATAGATCACCATCTGTCTTCTGATGGTCTTCAGATTAAGAAAAATAACCGTTTTTCACTTAAATGAAAATTTGGCAATTCTTTAATACTAGAATTTTTTTTGCAACACAGATGTGTGCCAAAATCCTCAGTATTGTTGAAGTTATCACTAACATTTTTTGTCAAGATTTACAAACTGTACATTTCATTCAATTTCACAAACCAATCTTTTTTTTAAATTTTCATTAAATTTTTTTGAAAAATTAGTGAAAACTTATTGTACTAACATATGCACCCCAGTAAAACCAACTGTACTTTGTACTCACTTACCTACTTACACTTCTCCCCAAAATTTGGTTTCTATCAGTGTTGTGGAGTAATTTCGCAGTGGATGCTTGTATTTATACTAACTCAGTCCTAAAATAGGTTTGACGTACAAAACGTTAGGAACTTGATATAATAGGTATTACGCAGAGTAATCTTATTGTGGTTGCTGACTACTTTAGTATTTGACTAACTGTTGACATCGACTGTCGACAGACATCGACTGACTTGATCATTACTCTTACTACTCCTACTTATATTAGGTGGGAGAGTCTATTAACTATAGAATAGGTGTGTTTCATAATTTTGTTCTAAAACTTTACTCTGTAGGAGTAAAACAGTTTTCTTTATTTTTTACAGGAAATATGAAGAAAAAACAAAACAAAAAAAACTTCATTTTTTTAGTAACATCGTAGCGTATCTTCTACGTTTTAAATCCACTTTTAAATGATCAGTTGCCTTTCTTTTTCTCATGGATCGGCGTACCTCAGGTAGAATTGTTGCATGCGTTGTTAGATCAAATGTATTGAAAATCACCTCCATCAGCGTTTCTTCCGCGTGACCGCTGTCAACCACGTCTGAAGAGCGTCATCTGATATGGTTAATGTGCCATCTGCACGTGAATTTTTCGCCTTTCACCAAGTACATCATATTGCCAATCTGCTTTTCTATTTTTTGGTACCTCCATAATGTTACCAGAAACAACCTTCCGCTTTGAGCTTCTTAAGGATGGAGTCACAGTTTCTGTAGGTTCTTCTTGTGGTTCTATTTGTTCAGCCTCTAGCTTCCCCTTTGTTAATCTTGTGGTTCTTAGCGTTTTCTGTGGTGACTTCAGTTGACTTAAATCATTTAATAATACTGCATGTCCTTGGCTGCGGGTAACTCGCTCCCCAGTTTTTCTCAGTGTCGGCTTCATCTTTACTTTCTGGAGCTTTTCTTTCCATATATACCGTTAGTGTTGCCCATTCACTATACTCAACTTCTTTTAAGTACACCGGTTTTCTCTAATCTGTCCAATTCTTTATCTATCTGTTCAATTGAGACAAATGGCACATTCCTTTTCTTTTTGAATACTGCCTGAGCATTTTCTTTTAGCTGGGATTTTGCCTTCGTTTTGGTACACGTTCACAACCCTGGAGAAAAAAAACAGTAGGAAATGTTTCCTTAAGTTTCTTTACTAATTTTTGGGCTTCGGTGTTTAAACTTTCTACCTTGTAACAGAAGGAATTTATCAGTAGATCCCGTAATTGGAATTCTGTTATCCAATTCGTACCAAGTAAGTTCATGGTATTTTCTATAACAAATAGTATAGCTTTTCGCGTTTTTCTTATTTAACGTGACATTTGCAACAAATTCCCCAATAAATTGTATTTTTTCTCCTGTCACTGACGTCGCGATTTTCTTTGTCTTCATTAAAGTTGGTTTCCCCAACTTCTTCCACATATACAAATTTATGATAGATAGATCTGAGCCAGTGTCAAGTTGCATTTTTATATTTTTATTACTTATTTCGACGGTAACAAATTTTCTGGTCATTCCATTGTTCACCTCGTTGGACTTTAATTTTCTTATTTTATTGTCTTTATTTTTTGACCTGCAATGCATGCATTTATGACCCACTCTTTTACAGTTGAAACATTTTTTATTCCTAAAATCGCAATATCTGTACCAGTGTAGTTCACCGCAAGCAAAACATGGCTTCAGGAGTTTGTTTATTTTTCTCTGGTATTTCACTTTTTGCTTGATAATCCGCAATTTTAGAATTCTTTTTGGTAGACTGACTTTCTTCTTTCTAGCGTATTTTCTTTACATACGAAACGCCAGACTGTTCTATCTTTTATGAGTCTTTCTTTGTGCTAACATCTTGTGCAGTCCTCTGCCAATTTCTGTACCGTAATACTTGGATTGCTTTCCCATTTTGCCAGTACTAATTTTCTCACCTTTGCGTCTCTTTTCAATACCAGCCCCTGAACAAACACCAAGCACTTAAAATTGTTTGCGCTTAACTCTGCCAGCTTGAATTCTTCACAATGCTTATTCACATTGGCTGTGTACATTATATAGTCTTGTTCATCATTTTTCATCAGATTCAAACATTTCCACCTCTTGTGAGATGTCTTTTTACTAAATAATTCATTAATATATTTACCGCCTCGGTAAATGTCAACTCGCTAGTTTTTTTTGGTAAAATGTAGTTTACCAATTTGTTATGCTCTTAATTTGCTTAAAAGAAGTTCCTTAATTTGCGTCCGTATATTTTTTATAATCTTCAAAAGTTTCCTTCAGAACACGTTAATATTTCAATTGAATTCCATATTGTATTCTCTGGGAAAGAATCATTTCGTAGATTTTTCTTTTCTCTTCTCACTTATTTCCAGAATTTTGTTTTGAAACTCCCTATGCATCTGTTCCATTTTTTGTTGGAATTGCATTTGTCTATTGAAAGTTTCCTCCTGTAGCTGCATCTGGAATGTTTTTGTTGCTCTAATATTGTCATCTGTTGTTCTGACTAGAACTTAAAGAATTCCTGAATATATTTTGCATTCCTCCAAAAGCTAAAAAAGTTTACACAATGCCTAAATACTGTAGAGAGTGTGGGAGGGGGGGTCCAACGAATTTGCAATTCGTGACCTATTTGAGCAAACTGTATTAACAGGAAAAAAAAAAAAAAAAAAATTTATTTTCTCAGTTGAGAATACAACAGATTTTTTCATCACTAAGTTGACGTCTTGGCTTGTGAAAAACTTTGCCATATTTTTTTTTTTAAAGTGTGAATCCAAGACTTTGTTGCTGAAGTTATTGTGGCGAGCGAATTTTTTCTTCCTCCATATGAGTGCGAATCCTAGTCGCCAAAGTTGTTGTGGAGTAATTTCGCAGTGGAGGCATGTATTTGTACTAAGACGTTCCTAAAATAGGTTCGACATACAAAATGTTAGGAACTTGATATAAGTAATCTTGTGGTCGCCGACTACTTTTGTATTCGACTGTCATCTGACATCAATGGACCTTTGTTTCTCTTACAACTCCTACTTATATTAGGTGGGAGAGTCTATTAACTATAGAAAAGGTGTGTTTCACCATAACAATCAGTCAATGTATAGCTATTTTAGAGGGTGTGACAAACTGATAGATGAATGGATGGATAAAGTCACAGAATTTTATATACAGAAGACTCATCAGAAACCTAAACAGTTATAATTTATAATTATTTGGAAGTGATTAATGAAGATCACTGTTAAATTATCCAAGAAAATCTTATGTGGAGAAGAAAGCAAACTTCTGTCAAAATTTCAGTGAAAACAATTCACCATTCTAAACATTTGGCTTCTATTTTAAAGCAGTTAAGACAAACTGTATTTACATGCATAGCATTGTCCTCATTTTTGTTAATATCACAATGTTTCTACTGCTGATCCCTCCAGGCTTCATCAGATTCTTGTTGAACTGAATAAGCTTAAAGAAATTTTGAACTGAACCCTTTATTCAATCTACAAGAGTAGA